ATCCCATTGTTTATTCTTTCCTGTTTATCTCTTGACCTAGGAAATACATTGGTGAATATATTGCTGCGTGGGATATCTGACATTTTACTGCCTATGTTTTCCTCTAGGACTTTTATGGTGTCATGACTTATATTTAAGTCTTCTATACATCTTGAGTTCATCTTGGTGTACAGTGTGATTTGGTGGTTGAGTCTCATTTTTTTGCATGTACCTGTCTAGCTCTCCCAGCATGTCCAGTCATTCTATTGCTCCTTAGTTCTCTCATCTGTAAAATGGGGATAATCTGGGGTCTTTTTCTTACTATATCTAAGAGTTATATCAAAGATAAATAAATTATTCCATATAAAGTGCCAAAGTGTGTAATTCTAGGAGAAATATAAAGATTCAACAAAGAAATCAAAATAGAATTCAGATGACACCAGACTACCCTCTGTGTCTCTGAGGACATTTTTCCCATTGCTACATGTGTTTTTACATTGTTCATTAGACTGATGCCAGTTCATTAGTAACTTTTGAAGCTGACTCACCAAGGACTATTTTGTTTTTCACTCAGATATTCCCTGTGCACTGGTCAACTATACATATAAATAAGTGTTAATTATATAGAATTTTTAGGGAAGCCTGCCTTCTTCCCAGGAAATTCAGAGGTGCTCCACTGACAAAACTAGAGAGAAATCTTCCCTATCTCTTCACCACTGTTTCCTTCCTTTGAACTAACAAAGTAACTGGGAAATCTAGTAACAGATGCCATTTTAGACTTGGTGTGGGAAGAGGAGACTGAGACTGGGCTCATTATATCTGGAGCCATGAAAATCTAGGAGAGTTCTGTCTCACATACACACACACATGTTTGTGTGGAGCTTAAGCCTGGCAGTTGAAATAGATGGAATGCAAGAGAAGGATCAGAAGTACACACAGAACTCACAGATTCAACATTGCTTGAATTGTGGTTCCTTCAAGGTTCCTTGTAAAGAACTGTCAGAAGAGTAAGTATGTAATTGTTACAACGTATTTTTCCAGATTCTCTAAACATAGGCAGAGGGTGAATACAGTGAGTTTTAAAATCTGGAATTCAGTTCATTATAAATGATACTAACAAAAGTATTCAACAATCATTCTGATATATTGTTATTATGAAGGAACATAAAATTAGAATTTGCTTCCATGGTCACTTTAGCTTTTGAAAGGGCCAGTCATAACTATGAATTCAGGAAGCCTTTTCTAGTTAAGAGACAGAATAAGAAAAAATGATGGAAAAAACATTACCACTCAATAATACCCACTAGTGTAATAGAAACAAAATAATATCAGCATTATAAATTACCTTACAGGGAACCTCACCTTATTCTCCATCTACTAGTTAAATCCTTTTTTATCTTTTTTTTTTTTTTTTTTTTTTTGGCAGGGAGTAAGTGTTTGGGGGCATAGCATTTACTCTTCTTAAATTTCAGCTATCCATTACATAGGCAGCCTGTCCCAAATGAACGCAGAATGAGGTTTGTTCCAAACACAGGAAAGGTCCAAGGGTCTCAGATATACCTGAATTAATGAAACAGGGAATCAATGAAGGAAAAGAAAGGAATCTCAATCACTCACCCAGCTCCCTAACTGGCAGCAAGAATAGGTAGTTTTGCACAGGTAAAGTCATCCAAGGCCTGCCTATGAATGTTAATTTAAAAAATTAGTTATGGGAGGGAGGTGGTGAAATTTATTATTTATGTAATGAAATTGTTTCAGACTTTAATTGATCCGAACTCAAAATAAATAAATAACTCAGTCTCCCAGAGAAATTTTCACAGTATAACAGAGAACGTTGCAATGATTGCTGGGAAAGGCCAGCCATTCGTCTGAAATCATTTGAATCTGTCTGAAGCAGTCTCACACACACATACCCAAAGGATCTGCCACCACAGATCCTTTCTAGTAATCCCCAAGTGCATTACTAGAAGTAGTGCTTATTTAACAAGCTTCATGAATTAAAACACAATGTTGCCAAAAAGTCACATGTACTATATTAGCCACTTTAAAACACTAAATTAATGATCATTAAATAAATGTCATTATGATTGAGTTCACCAGTCTTTCCTATCAATATAGAAGAATAAGAGTTTTGATAAGAGAAGGCAGGGAATAATTTTAGATCCTAGGAACTTTATAGGAGAGGGAGAACTGGAGATAATAATATCAATAACCAGTACAAGGATTTAACTTTTCTACAATGAGAGGGAGGGAGGCAAGGAGGAAAATTAGGAGTGCGGAAATGAACCAGACCTATCATTTAGTTTGGCCTCTCAGCATCTTCCTCTGACAAGCACATGGCAAGACACTATCTGTGCAGTATGCAATTTCTCCCCTGAGCTGAGTGAGTGTTTCCCTGTTCCAAAATCATGTCTGTGAACTCTGAGCAGTGCACTTGTCAACTCAGCTTACAGTGGCAGTTGATGCAAACAACTTTATAATAGAAAGAAAAGAACCTAGCGAGACTGAATGTACATAGGAAAATACGAATAGCTACCAACGTAATTAAGAGTGATTGTCGAGGAGTAACAATGAAGTAGCCATCCTGAGTCCAAATTTGCATTTTCATTGTTATCTGTATTGCCATGTCACTGAACATGCACTAAAATGAAATATCATTTCCCATTAGTACTCTGAAAGCGTTTCATTTTCCTTTCTTTTTAATAAATTCATTGGGTAACATCGATTAATAAGATTGTATAGGTTTCAAGTGTGCATTTCTATGATACATGATCTTCATATTGGTATGTGTTACCGTCTAAGTTCAAATTATCTCCCGTCACCATATATTTGACTCCTTTTACCCTTTACTATCCCACCTTCACCCTCTTCCCTCCGGTAATCACCACACTGTTGTCTGTGTCTGTGAGGTTTGTTTGCTTTTCTTGTTTGTTCACTCATTTGCTTTCAGTTTCATATCTCACATATGAGTGAAGTCATAGGTGGGATTTCTGATGCTATGCTTTTTAAATAATAAATGCTTATTAAATATTTATTTGAATGAAGAATTGTAGATTACTTACTTGAGCAATAGGAAAGAAGAGTACCCTAAATGTATTTTTATTCTCTATTCATAACTCACACATTGGATACTCTTGGGGAAATTGTTTAAACACAAGAAATCAGGTTTTCCTCCCATGTAGAAGTGTGTAGTGTTTTCCTATAAACCCTTGTGACTAAATTTTCCTATTTAACAATGAACCTTCCTAGTAAAACACAGAGGAATAGGCCAATAGATTGAGTTATTATTAACTTTTGATATCCCCAATGAGAATGCATTTACCAGGTCTTCTTTTACAGATGGACACCCGAGAGTAGCTGTTTGAAATATGAATCTCGATGAGGGTAAGTTTTGACATGAACGAGAGGGGGATTGCCTAAGCCTCTATCTAAAATGATTCCTGAAAAATAATGTACATTAGAGCACAGGGAGGCTTAAAACTGTTACCAGTTACTAAAATGGACAGAGATAAATATCAGTGAGAAAAGTAAGTACTTTATAATTTGTTTGCAAAGATTGGTTCATGAGTGTCCACTTGTTTCTGAATATTGCTTGGGCAAGTTACTATATCAAAACACAGAAAACATAGCTTGTTGGTAAATTAGTGGGGAGAGGTAACATGAGGAGGGGAGCAGCAGAAATTATTCAAAGTCACTGGAACACATACTGAGACAGATTCTGATGGTTGAGTTCTGCAAAGAGCACAGGATTGACCAGGCTGCTAAAGAAAGCATACATTAGAAGTCAGTCCCCCTGGACTCCACCCATGACTCGAAGCTCCAGAGAAGAACTAACTGTGGTTTATATTCAGGTTCCAAAACCTTTTTCTATACATCACTTCAGGAAATCCTTTGTGTAAGCAGCCCCAATACTGGCTTAGCGGTGCTTCCGTTTGCCTAAATACAGGGTAATAAAACAAAGATATATCTTTGTCTTTTAAACTTTTTATCTCCCAACTGAGAGATAATTTGAACTATACAAAGCAGAACTAACACTTTTAAATGAATGCGCTGCTGTTAAAGTTTAGCCCTAACAACATAAGATGATCAACATAAAATATTAATTAAACATTTGTCCAAACCCATAGAATATACAACACCAAAAGTAAACCATAACATAAATTATGGACTTTGATTTGTCAATGTAGGTTTATCAGTTGTAACCCATGAACCACACGGGGGCGCTGTTGACAATGGGGGAGGCTGTGTATGTGTGACAGCAGGAGTCGCACAAGAACTCTCCATCCCTTTCCCTCAGTTCTGCTGTGATTCTTCTAATATCGCCATAAAAAATGTTTTTCTTTTAAAACACAGAAATACTAATTAACAGATCCTTCTTAGTTTTGAAAATGGAACATTTCAGTACGGTGCGGAAAAGTAAAGAAAAATAAGGATGGGAGGAAAAAACTTCAGAAATGACATTTCCTCCATAATAGGGACAAATAAAATCTGTACTATAAGGCAATAATGTTGAGAAAGTGCAAAACAGACACATGATTTATGTTTTTTGTTTTTCATTTGACATCTTTGTAAATATGCTTTCTTTTTTAAAAAAAATTAATTTATTATTAGAGAGAGGGGAAGAGAAGGAGAAAGAAAGAGAGAGAAATATTGATGTGCAAAAAACACATTGATCAGTTGCCTCTCACGCCCCCAGCTGGGGACCTGGCCTGCAACCCAGGCATGTGCCCTGAGTGGGAATCAAACCAAAGACCTTTTTGTTTACCAGCTGACACTCAACCCACTGAGCCACACCAGCAAGAGCTATAAATGTGTTTTCTAATCACAGAATTATAAGCATTAGATCTATAATATTTCTATATTTCCTATAGATGTCTCCTAGTAAAATATTAAATGCACTATGTCAACACATCGGTTATTAAGCAAAAGAAAAAAGTACATGTGAGCTCCCTTGCTGGGTGTATTTTCATTCAGGTTTCAATGCTAGCTTCTTATGACACTTCTCTCCGCAGGTGGAATTATATTTGACTTGGCACAGGCAGTGATGAGAAATCATACAGCAATAACAATATTCATCCTGATGGGATTGACAGATGACCCAAAACTACAAGTTCTGCTTTTTGTATTTTTGTTCCTTACCTACATGTTGAGTGTGGCTGGGAACCTCACCATCATTACCCTCACATTTTTGGATTCCCATCTTAAAACTCCCATGTATTTTTTCCTCCGAAATTTCTCTTTCTTAGAAGTTTCATTCACCACTGTCTGTATTCCCAGATTCCTATATACTATCATAACTGGAGATAATACTGTCACCTATAATGCTTGTGCTACCCAGTTATTTTTTGTTGTCCTCTTTGCAGCAACAGAATTTTTTCTCCTTGCGGCCATGTCCTATGACCGCTACGTGGCCATTTGTAAGCCCCTGCATTACACAACCATCATGAACAACAGAGTCTGCACTATACTTGTTCTCTGCTGTTGGTTTGCTGGCCTGTTGGTTATCCTCCCACCTCTAGGCATGGGCCTCCAGCTGGAATTCTGTGATTCAAATGTGATTGATCATTTTGGTTGTGATGCATCTCCTATTTTACAAATAACCTGTTCAGACACAGTGTTAATAGAAAGAGTTGTGTTGAGTTTTGCTGTGCTGACACTCATTATTACCTTAGTGTGTGTAGTTCTTTCCTACACATACATCACCAAGACCATTCTAAGATTCCCTTCTACCCAACAAAAGAAAAAAGCCTTTTCTACCTGCTCTTCTCATATGATTGTGGTTTCTATCACCTATGGCAGCTGCATCTTCATCTACATCAAACCTTCAGCAAAGGAAGGAGTGGCCATTAATAAAGTGGTATCTGTGCTCACTACTTCAGTTGCCCCCTTGCTTAATCCATTCATTTATACACTTCGAAACAAACAAGTGAAAGATGCCTTAAAAGACACAGCAAAATTGATTGTATTCCTCACAAAGAAGTAAGAAACAATTGAGTTTTAGAGGTTATTAAATTTAAATCTAACCCATGAGAGACATTTATGAATTTTCCAAATAAATGGTTTCTTCCTATTCTGTAGATTCATCAAGCTATTCTACCCCCAGGAACATTTGTCTCTTAAACTCCAAAAGCCAAAAATCAAGCTATTTCTTTCTTTTAAGTTTATTTTATTCAGAATAGTTTCTTCAATAAATGTATGTTCTAGAGACTAGATTCCTAAAATGCTCAATGTCATAAAAAGAAAATGCAAATAAATATATTTTTATCACTGGCCATATAGCCTTCTCATGATGTGGAATGTAAATTTTCAGAGACCATTTCTCATTTGCTGAGAATACTTCAATATATAGCCTCTGATTGTACAAAAATAATCCAAGATTCCTTATTAATGCATAAAAAGTGATCTAAAAACAAAGTGTGCACTCCAGAGCTCTTCTTCTCATTTTAAAATGTCCATTTCTCTTCTGGTCAAGATGGAGGCATAGGTAAACATGACTTGCCACCTTGTACAACCACAGCAAAAATTACAAAACAACATGCACCCAGAATCATCAGAAATATGAGTTATATGGAAGTCCAACAACCAAGGAATTAAAGAAGTTACATTCATCCAGATAGGTAGGAGGGGTGAAGTATTGGAAGGGGGTCCCACATCCATGTGTGCTAGATAAGAATCAGGAGGGATACCAGACCCACACCAGCCCACCCAGCTTAGGGTTCCAGTGCCAGGAAGATAGGTCCCCATAACCTCTGGCTGTAAAAATCCATGGGTGTTGGGGCCACAGAAGAAACTGTGGGATTCTCAGGCATCTCTTCTTAAAGGGCCCAAAACTTACTTGGGACTTACACAGACTCACTACTTCTGGGCCTAAGCACCAGGGCAGCAGCTGGAAGGGCACCAGTGGTATACAGGGAGAAACTGGACTGTCTGGCATCAGGCAAGTGCCAGGGGACAGCTTCCTCCTAGACAAAACTACAGAAGCTAGGCAGTGGCCATGGTCCCTTCTCTGAGCCCTCCCCGAACAGAGCCACAGAGCTGAAACACCTTATCTGAGACTCTATCAACCTAGTTCACACAGGTTGCCCTGCTCTGGCAATTATGTAAGGCTCCACCTCATCCAACATATGGGTGCACTTTTCTACAATAGGCCATGCTACTAAGACAGGGAATCGAAGCAGCTTTACCTGATACATAGAAACAAACACAGGGAAGCTGCCAAAACGAAGAGACAAAGAAATATAGCCCAAATGAAAGACAGTACAAATCTCCAGAAAGAACTAAATAAAATTAAGATAAGCAATCAGATGCTGATAGTTCAAAATACTGGTTATTAGGATATTCAAGGAACTCATTGTATACTTCAACAACATAAAAAAAGACCCAGGTAGAAATGAAGGTTGCACTAAATGAAATAAGGAAAAATTGACAGGGAATCAATAGTGAAGTAGATGAAGCCAAGAATCAAATCAATGATTTGGAATATAATGAAGCAAAAACCAACCAATCAGAAGAGCAAGAAAAAAAATGCAACAAAAATTAGGATAAGCTAAGAAGCTTATGGAACAACTTCAAAATATCAACAACTGAATCATAGGGTGCCAGAAGGAGAAGAGAAAGAGCAAGAAATTGAAAACTTATTTGAAAAAGTAATGAAAGAGAAAGTCCCTAATTTTGTGAGGGAAATAGACATGAAATGTGATTCCCAGGAAGCACAGGGAACCCCAAACAAGATGGGCACAAAGAGGACCACACTAAGACACATCGTAATTAAAATGCCATAGGTTATACATAAAGAGAGAATCTTAAAAGCATCAAGAGGAAAGCAGTTAGTTACATACAAAGGAGTTTCCATAAGGCTGACAGTTGATTTCTCAAAAGAAACTCTGCAGGCTTGAAGAGACTGACAAGAAGTATTCAAAGTGATGAAAAGCAAGGACCTGCAACATAGATAAAGTGTTTCCCAGACAAGGTAAAGCTAAAGGAGTTCATCATCTCCATGCTATTATTATATGAAACGTTAAAGAGACTTATTTAAGAAAAAGAAGATCACACCCTGGTTTCTCTTCATATCATATAAATCTTTCGCCTTTTACTAAAGATTTCTGCAAAGAAAAAGATCAAAACTATGAACATTAAAATGGCTACAAATTCACAACTATCAACAATTGAATCTAAAAAAAAACTAAGCAAACAAGCAGAACAGAAACAGAATCATAAATATGTAGATCATTTGGAGGGTTATCAGTTGGGAGGGGGAGGTGGGAGAATGGGGGAAAAGTGCAGAGATTAAGAAATACAAATTGGTAGATACAGAATAGACAGGGCGATGTTAAAAACAGTATAAGAAATGAAGAAGCCAAAGAACTTATATGCATAACCCATGGACATGAACTAAGGGGGGTGATTGCTGGAGAGAATGAGGGGTACCAGGTGGAGGGGAGCAAAAGGGGCAAAATTGGGACAACTTTAATAGCATAAGTGATAAAATATATTAAAAAATAAATAAAATGTCCAGTTTTCAGGAACAAGAATTTTTCACAAAGCAATTTCAAAATCAGTGAAAATAATTATATTTTTTCTTTTAAGCCAATTTACTGACAAAAATTTTTCAACTGGCCTTTCTGGAAGTGTACTGAATCCTGAAATATGAAAGAGTGAAAAAACAAGATTTCCAAGTGTGGTATGTCGTTTACCCACATTGCCGTTGATGGTGCTTACTCATTGACTCAAGACAGATAAGCCTGAATTTAAGGGTAGGATAACTAAATCTTGGTCAAATAAGTTCTCCAAACTTCAGACTTATATTATTCCTTGATTTAAGAAGGTTAAAGATTAGAATTTATCAAAATATTTAAAAAGTTCATAATTTTGGAAGGACATTCTAACAGGCATTTGATTGCTTAGCATGGGCTAAGTATAGTGTGAAAAAAAATGATAGAGAAAGATGGAAAAACAAGTAACAGTTATGTAGGGGCCTTGGACCAAATAATGGTCCACTCTTTAATGGCCACTCTTGCCATTAAATAGTAAAAAAGTCATTTTATTCTTTTCAGGTTCTATAATTGTGGAAAATAAAAGTTTGTGCATTTCCAGTACATATACAACTATTACTTATGTTTATTAAACATCATCTAGTTACTGGAGTGTACCTTTTATTTTTATCATATTTACAATTGTTCATAGAAGGTAATAGTATGAGTATAATCTTTTATACTTTAAACATATTCAGGGAAAATAGAACTTTATTCTCCAAGGCCTTTCTTCTTTTTCATTTAAAACTTCTAAACCCCTAGAGACCATACTGATATAAGCAAATTATTGAATGAATTAATATATGAAGAAGAAGAGACAAATTTCCTATGCAAAAGTATTCCAAATCATTGATGTAGATACTCCGTCTAAAAGGAAGGAGAAACTTTACAGAGGAGAAACTGACACTGTGTCAGTCAGATGATCAAGGTCAACATCAACAGCCAATAAGCCATGTTGATAATATGTATCCCTGACATGATGTAATAAAAATGCCACCTTACCTCTGTGGTCTTCTTCCCAATAGCATCGGGCAACTTTCAGTGGGAAATCCTATAAAATACCTGAACTGTACTCCTCAAAACTGTCAAGATCTTCACATATAAGGAAAAGTCTGAGAAAGTGTCACAATCAAGAGGAATCTAAGGATACATGACAACTAAATGTAATGTAGAATCTAATAAACAAAATAGATTGAGAAACAAAATTAAAACAGAGGAATGAATACAGGAAACAGACTGACAGCTGTCAGAGGGGAAGGCGATCGGGGGACTGGGTGAAAGAAGGTGAAAGGATGAAGCAAAACAACATATATATAAAACAGAGAGACAGGCAACAGTATGGTGACAGCCAGAGGGAAAGGGGATGGGGAGTAGGTGGAGGTGGGCAAAGGGGTGGAAAATGGGGACAGAAAGAGACTACTTGGGGCAATGGTTTTGCAAACCAATGTCACTCCAGTAAATTTAATATAAAAAATGTAATGTGGTATCCTACATGGGATCATGGAATAGGGGAAGATATTAGGTGAAAACTAAGGAAATCTGAATAAACTATGGACTTGATTTAATAATATTGATTCAGTTTTGGTTCATTAATTGCATCAAGCACATTATACTAATATAAGACATTAACAGGGGAAACTAGGCATATGGTATACATGAACAATTTGTATTATCTTCTCAATTTTTCTGTAAATCTAAAACTGCTCACAAAAAAAAAAGATCTATTAAAAATAAATACAATCTTCAAGTTAAATGACAATTATTTCTTTATTCTGAGAAAAATCTATGACTACTTAAATGATGGATTTGAAAGAAAATTTAAAGATCTCTTTTGCAAACTACTCAATGCAAGGATGCCATTCAAGTCCATTGTCCCATCTCTCACTCTTCTCCTTAATCTGCTGATGACCTGTGTTTGATGCTTCCATTGCACATTCCTCACCAGTCTCTCTGGGCTGACCTCTGCTAAACACCTATTTAACTTTTGTTCTTTAAGGCAACAAAGAGTCTTTATCAGTCTCTCTGAACCAGGACCCCTAGGGAATGCATTGTTTGTCAGCACAGTTGATCCCAAAGTGGCTAGATCTGAAGAGAGAAAAAAATTTGTTCCTTTGAATATTTAAAAACCTCCAAAATGCGGGCTAATGTGTCTTTTGCTGAGGTAATCATTTCTCCTAGGAATAGAAAAAACTCTAAAAACTCTCTGCCCTTTAACACGTTTGTACATAATTTAATAAGTATTTGAATATGTGTTTAGCATTTTGCTATGTAGTATAGAAAATGCAACAGAGTTGATCTGCCCCAGATCAGCAATACAATATATAAAATATACAACCATGGAAAATTAACAATAGAAGAAATTACACAGGGCAACATATATTGAAGTGCCACATGAATGACACAGATCATGCGTCCTTTCAATACAATTATGATCCCTGTGGTCAAGTGAAAT